TTGCAATTCATTCGTTCTTTTATTCTTTGCTTGTTCTAGCGTATATTTCATGTTTCTCTTTCTTGTTTTTCTTTCTTTAATCTTTCATTTCTTTCATTCACTTTTTTCTATTTGATACTTTATTCCGTTTATTTTTTTATTGCTTTCTTTCTTTCTGTTTAATTCTTTTTTTTTTCGTTCTTTCTTTCTTTTTAATACTTTTATTTCTTTCTGTTTTTCTCAATTTTTCTGGCTTTTTCTTTCTTCCTTTCTTTTCTATCATCATTATTTTTTTTCATTCAATATTATTTCTTATCTTTCTCTTCTCTTTCTTTATTTCGCTTTTTCTTTATTTAATATGAATTCTTTCTTCCTTTTATTTGTGTTTATTTATTCATTTTCTTTCTTTTTTCTTCTTTTCTTTCTTCATCCTTCATTTTCTTCTTTTTGTCATCCTTTCTTATTTCTTTGCTTTTACTTTCTTTCTCTTCTCTTTCTTCATTTTCTCTATTTTACATCCTCTTCCGTTTATTTTTTGTTTGTTTGTTTTTCATAGTCTTTCGTTCATTCTTTCATTTTCTTTCTTTATTTCCCCTGTTTTTCTTTATATTCTTTCTTCCTTTCTTTTTCTTCTTTTTTTTTTAGTTCTTTCTCATTTCTTTCATCTATCCCTTTATCTAGCTTTCTCTTTCTTTCATTTTATTTTTCTTACTTTCATTCGTTTATTTTTGTTTGTTCGTTTGTTTGTTTGATTCTTTTTTCATTCTTTTTTTACTTTTATTCTTTTTTATTAGACTCAGGGACAAAGTCCTATGGGTAAGGTAAAGACGAAATACGTGAACGAGCGGCGCAATATCGATACTAATTCGTTGCCTCTTCGTAACCGACGCCCGTTGGTACAGTTGGTACGACGTTTGCCTCCTATCGTAACTATCCGGGTTTCAATTCACGATAGTGGATGCGCAGGTTTCTTCTAGACTCGATGAATTACTTAATTATAATTCTATCAAATCCGCTTAATAATTTCTATCACTTGGATATCCTTGCTTGAATCGGCTTTAAATGCTCTGGATGGATCGGCTTGGGGATAGTAGTCGTGGGTCGTTGGGGAACAGTCCGGCTTGGGGATAGTAGTCGTGGGTCGTTGGGGAACAGTCCTATGGGTAAGTGAATATGTGATCGGTCGGCGCTATATCGAATCTGATTCGTTACCTCTCCGTCACCGAGGCCCGTTGGTACCGTTGCCTCATATCGTAACTGTCCGGGTTTCAATTCTCGGTAGTGGATACGCACTGCTGATGAGTCCCATAGGATGTAAACGGCCGTACATTGCTTTCTCTATTCTACTGAGGTTTCTTCTAGACTCGAATAATTACTTATATCTGTAGATATAGGCATAAACTTAATTTCAATCCTTCATAAGCTTCCAATACTTAGCTATGACTAATTAATGATGAACATGTCATTTTCGTTTTCATCACGATTCTTCTGTTAAACATAGAGAGTAATTATATAGTCGTATTGTTCGAAGCAAAGTCCAATAGTCCGTCTCATAAAATGTTGCATATCTAAAAAAAAAACTTTAGATATCTTCACACTATTTGTCGTAAAAATCAAAGAAAAAAAACCTATTCAGCTAGAAAGAGAACAGGTTAAAATCGTTTTGTGCCAGCCCCACTGTCTTCCCAAATGAGCAATGGCGAGAGGAAAAAGTTCATTCGGGCTTTCATTAATGGTACCAACATAGATACTCTGGTGTCCATCTTCAAAGACCATTAAGAACCGTCAAGAGAAAGGTGAATAAATTTTAAAAAGAGGGAACAGTAGAGATGAAAAATGGATCGGGAGAGCACAACAGGAAGAAGGATCATCATATCAACGTAGATCTAAATGCATTCTTATTGTTCAGAGAATTCCAGTAAGATATCTTTAATCATTTCTAAGATACAACGGTTCAACGCTTAATTCTAAATTTGAACAGTTTTGCTGTTACATCCAATGTATCTCGAGATTCTCAACAAAATCCGAAGAAGAATCTGTTATGTTGTCAGTCCTCAACTGGCATCTCGGCTTCAGCTATTCCCCCTCCCCCGTGCCGTCGCTTCACTCTGTCTTTTCTCTAAATATATCTATGAAAATAATTCTGACCCTTTCACCTCGACTACACGAATTTAAGGGCGCTATTAAACCATCAAATATATCGCATCATTTACTCTAAGAAGAGGAAAAGAGAAAAGGGTTTTTTTTAATAACGTTTTTTTTCCTCATGAAAAAAAAGCTTATGAGCTTATTGTTCATTTTGTTTTAATTCTTTTAATTGGTTTCACCTCACGCAAGGCAGTAAAGCCACTAAGACACAAGGGATTACAAGGTGTGGAAGAATTAAGAACAGAAACATTATTAATGATTGGAAAGAGAAAAAAAAAAGTAATCTGGAGGACGGTAAATAGCGATTGACATTGTATTTAAATTTCTGCAGATTAAAGTTGGATGGGGAAAGGGAGAAGTACGATAGCATAGAATTTACGGTTACATCTAGACAACTGGATTAGATTCTAGTACTGCGCTTAAATTAAGAAAATGAATGACATTGCATTTAATTTTTTTTGCAGATTAAAGTTGGATGGAAAGTAACTGTTCCAGCTTAGAAAAGTAACTGTTACATCTGTTACATCTAACCAGTTCAACTGTAAATTGACGAGATCGCGATGCCAGTCTAGTGCTGCGTTTAAATTCAAAAAGCCTAGGTTCCATAGCTTAAAATTCACCTGAACAATTAGCATGAAAGTATTTATAGAAAAGTCACAGAGAGGCAAGTTTACGGCGGTGGAAAAGTGTCTGATGCTGAGCATCCAGATATTTTTTTGCTTTTTTTTCCTATTTTTTTTGGTCCCATTTTTTTGCTTTTTCCTTTTAATGGTCCCTACTCTTTTATTTATTCATGTATTTGTTTATGTTTTACTTACCTAATTATTCTTTATTGCCTTCCTCTTTTATCTTAATTTTTATGCCTTACATATATCGTCCATTTTACCTTTTCCTATTTCCAAGTTTTCCCGAACTAATTTCATTTTATCGATTCTACTCTCTTTATTTCTCAAATATTTTTTGCCATTCATTTTCTTTGTCCTTTCCTCGTTAACTTTTTACACCCATTCTTCTGTTAATTTTATTTCAACAACGTTTCTGCCATTTCTTTCTCCTCCGTTTGATTTTTTCCTTCCCTAATTAAGTTTCTTGTTCTTTTTTTTTCTACTGCCAGGTTGACTTCTTTTGATCATATTTTTTTCATGTTAGCCAGGGGTTCTTTTTCTTTTATCTTTTCATCTTCCTTTCGATAATCTTTGGTTTTCTTTTTCTTGTTTACCTCATTTTTTCTCTTTTTTCCTTTCTTTCAGTCCTTACCGGAGATCTTTATTTTCCTTTCTTCTTTCTTTGTAACGATTTCTTATTCTTTTATTCTTACTTTCCAACATTGTCTTTCTGTTTTTTCTCTTTTTTTCTCCTTTTTGTCTTTACCTTACCTTTCTGTCGTTTTTCTCTCCTCGTTCCTTTTTATTGGTCCTTTAATAATCTGTTTGTTTCTACTTCATCTTTCTTTCTTTCTACTTTCACTTTTTTACTTTCTTTCTTTTCATTATTAAATACGTTTTTTTTTTTGCCTTTTATTTCATTTTTTTTCCTTTTCTTTTTTTTCTTTTGTCTTCCGCTTTTCCTTGCTTCTTTTCCTCGTCATCGTTTCTTTCTATTTTTCCTTTCATTTTTTTTCCACTTTTTCTTTTTCCTTTCGCTTTTTCTCAGCTTTCTTCTTTTTTAAACTTTCTCTACTTTTAAAATTCTTTATTTATATTCCATTCATTCACCTTTTTAAATCCTTTACTTACTTTTGGTTTTAAACTCTCTCTTAACTTCTTTAAAATTATTCCATTCACTTTTTTATACCTTCGTTGCTAATTTTTTTCCAGTTTTTCACTCCGATTACATTTTTCTTATTTAGACGTCTTTTTCACTTTTTTATACTTTCGGTACTAATTTTTTTCTTAGTTTTTCACTCCGATTACATTTTTAGTTTTAGACGTCTTTTTCACTTTTTTTTTATATTTTCGTTGCTATTTTTCCCAGATCTTCACTCCGATTACATTTTTCATTTTTAGACGTCTTTTTCACTTTTTTATACTTTCGTTGCTAATTTTTTTTCCACTTTTTCACTACGATTACATTTTTCATTTTTAGACGTCTTTTTCACTTTTTTTATACTTTCGTTATTAATTTTTTCCAGTTTTTCACTCCGATTACATTTTTCAGTTTTAGACGTCTTTTTCAGTTTTTTTTTATATTTTCGTTGCTATGTTTTCCCAGATCTTCACTCCGATTACATTTTTCAGTTTTAGACGTCTTTTTCACTTTTTTTATACTTTCGATGCTAATTTTTTTCCAGTTTTTCACTCCGATCACATTTTTCAATTTTAGACGTCTTTTTTACTTTTTTTTTATATTTTCGTTGCTATTATTTTCCCAGTTCTTCACTCCGATTACATTTTTCATTTTTAGACGTCTTTTTCACTTTTTTTATACTTTCGTTGCTAATTTTTTTCCAGTTTTTCACTCCGATTACATTTTTCAGTTTTAGACGTCTTTTTCACTTTTTTTATATTTTCGTTGCTATTTTTTCCCAGATCTTCATTCCGATTACATTTTTCATTTTTAGACGTCTATTTCACTTTTTTATACTTTCGTTGCTAATTTTTTTTCCTAGTTTTTCACTCCGATTACATTTTTCAGTTTAAGACGTCTTTTTCACTTTTTTATACTTTCGTTGCTAATTTTCCTCCAGTTCTTGACACTGGTTTTATTTTTTATTTTTAGACGTTTTTTTTTTCACTTGTTTATACTTTCGTTGCTAATTTTTTTCCTGTTTTTTACTCCGATTACATTTTTCTCTACTTTGTGTGTATTTCGTTTGTTTACTTTTTAACTAGCTTTTTTATTTTCGTTTTTCAATTTATTCACGTCATTAAATTATGCTCTCCTTATTTAAATTACTTTCTTTTCACTTATATTATTCTCGTTTTTTTAAATTGTATAACTTCTTTTCACCATATCTTTTTAATATTCAGATTTTTCTTCGGTTTTTCTCACATCTTTGTAATTTCAATTTTTATTCACTTCTTTTTCGCACATCTTTTTTAAATTCAATTTTTTTTCTTCATCTTCTCACATCTTTTCATGTTCATTTATTATATTTTCTAATATCGATTTTTAAATTCAATTTTTTGTTCATTTTTTCGCTTCTTTTTCTTAATTTCGATTTTTTCACAGCTTTTTTAATTCGATTTTACTTCACTTTACTTTTTTAAATTATTTTTCTTACTTTCGTTTTTTTTTATAGTTTCACTTCCTCTTTCGCTTTTTCTCACATCCTCAGTCAATTCCGCTTTCACTTCTTGGGTTGAGAATTCCTCTTTCATTTCCTCTTTCTCTTCTCTCTCACTTTCTCTTTCACTTCTTTTTCAGTTTCTCTTTCACTTTCTCTTTCACTTCTTTCTAACATCCTACATCACTCCCTCTTTCACTTCTGTCTCACTCCCACTTTCACTTCTTCTTCCAATTCTTTCTCACTTCCACTTTTTCAATTCCTCTTACACATCCTCTTTCACTTCTTTCTCACTCCCTCTTAACTTCTTCTTCCAGTTCTTTCTCACTTTTCACTTCCATTTTCACTTCTTTCTCATTTCTTGTTTCTCACTTACTCTTTCAATTCTTTGTCACTTCCTCTTTCACTTCTTTTACATTTCCTTTTTACTTCTTTTTCACTTCCTCTTTCACCTCCTCTTGCATTTCTTTCTCACTTCCTATTCCAATTCTTTTCACTTCCTCTTTCACCTCCTCTTTCACTTCCTCTTTCACCTCCTCTTTCACTTCCTCTTTCACTTCTTTCTCACTTCCTATTTCACTTCTTCTCCAATTTCTCTTTCACCTCTTCTTTCACTTCCTCTTTCACTTCTTTCTAAACTGCCTATTTCACTTCTTTTTCAATTCCACTTTCACTTCTTTCTCACTTCTTATTTCACTTCTTTTCCAATTCCTCTTTCACTTCCTCTTTCAGTTCGTCTTTCCCTTCTCTCTCACTTCCTATTTCACTTCTTTTTCACTTCCTCTTTCACCTCCTCTTTCACTTCGTCTTTCACTTCTCTTTCACTTCCTATTTAACTTCTTTTTCAATTCCACTTTCCCCTCCACTTTCACTTCCTCTTGCACTTCTGTCTCACGGCTTCTTTCACTTCTCTCTCACTTCCTATTTCACTTCTTTTCCAATTCCTCTTTCACCTCCTCTTTCACTTCTTTCTCACTTCCTATTTCACTTCTTCTCCAATTTCTCTTTCACCTCTTCTTTCACTTTCTCTTTCACTTCTTTCTAAACTGCCTATTTCACTTCTTTTTCAATTCCACTTTCACTTCTTTCTCACTTCCTATTTCACTTATTTTCCAATTCCTCTTTCACTTCCTCTTTCACTTCCTCTTTCACCTCCTCTTTCACTTCCTCTTTCACCTCCTCTTTCACTTCCTCTTTCACTTCCTCTTTCACCTCCTCTTTCACTTCGTCTTTCACTTCTCTCTCACTTCCTATTTCACTTCATTTCCAATTCCTCTTTCACTTCCTCTTTCAGTTCTTTCTCACTTCCTATTTCACCTCTTCTTTCACTTCCTCTTTCACATCTTTCTCACTTCCTACTTCACTTCTTTTGCAATTCCTCTTTCAGTTCTTTCTCACTTCTTATTTCATTTCTTTTTAACATCTCATTTCACTACTTTTTCAATTCCTCTTTCACTTCCTCTTTCACCTCCTCTTTCACTTCTCTCTCACTTCCTATTTAACTTCTTTTTCAATTCCACTTTCCCCTCCTTTTACACTTCCTCTTGCACTTCTGTCTCACGTCTTCTTTCACTTCTCTTTCACTACCTATTCCAATTCTTTTCACTTCCTCTTTCACCTCCTCTTTCACTTCCTCTTTCACTTCTTTCTCACTTCCTCTTTCACTTCTTTCTCACTTCCTATTTCACTTCTTTCTCACTTTCTATTTCACTTCTTTTCCAATTCCTCTTTCCCTTCTTTCTCACTTCTTATTTCATTTCTTTTTAACATCTCATTTCACTACTTTTTCAATTCCTCTTTCACCTCCTCTTTCTCTTCGTTCTCCCATCCTATTTCCCTTCTATTTCACCTCCTCTTTCACCTCCTTTTTTACTCCCTCTTTCCCTTCTTTCTCACTTCCTTTTTCACTTCTTTATATAAATTTCCTTTTTTTTCTAACATTTTCCTTCCATCTTTTTTTTCTTTCCTTGTCTGCTCAATTATTCATCTTAACATTTTTTTCTTTTTTTACATTCTTTAATTTCTCTATTCATTCTGCTTACCTCCGGAAGGTGTACTTAAACGAAAAAAGAAAGAAAATACTGTCAAAAATAACCAGTTGCATACGCAATCAGACAAATGTGGATGGTGATAGATTAACTTTGCAAATGTGTTTGTGTCTTCTTTATCTTCGAACGGAATGTATCTGTCAGCGAAAGGAGACCGTGTCTCACTTTTACAGTTCTGCATGATCATTTCCGTCTTTCTACTGGTTTCACAGAGGCCATCGATTCGCCTAAAGGCTCGAGGGGAAAAAAACTTGGACGATTAAGCATTTTTTTTATCCTTTCTTCTAATGCAGTTGCAGCTCTGAAACGCATGCTTGTCATGTCCTAAATGCTAGAAATCACTCAAGCGATAGATTCTTTAACGACATGGACGTCGTGTTACAAAAGTTTATCGTTTGGAGCAACTACGTCAATCGTATAAAACTGAAAGTTTTAAATGAGTTTTGTCTTCTTCTTCTTCTTCTTCTTCTTCTTTCCTTAAGTATGACAGACAAGGAAAATTTAATTAATTCTTATTTACTTTTTTCAGCATTCTTACATTTTTCCGTTTCCTGGTGCAAAACATTTTCCATTGGCCCAAGCGCTTTCAGCTACTTTAAAGAAAGACATTTTCAAGGGTTTTTTGTCAGGTGCTGTTCATTCTTCTTCATGTTTTCGCTGTTTCAGATTTATTTTAATTTTGTTTTGAATACAAGTACGAGCATTTATTCCTTGCCTTGACGTGTTGAGCGCTGCTGAAATTCGAGTGAAGGTCATCCTACTTTTTTAAAAAAATTTTCAACCCTCGATTCTCAGTGGTAAGAAAAGTGGGGCTGATAGAGGGAAAGGGAGCTTTAATATAAAGGGTCTCTCTTATAGCGAGATGTTTTCGGTAATATGATTTATATAGTATTTTAGTGTTTCCTATCAGAAATTTTCTTAAGGGCTCTTGAAAAATGTAAAAACATAAGAAAAAGTAAATAGAAAATTAATTAAATTTTCCTTGTTTTTCATATTTGAGGAAAAATCTTTAAAAGAATGGTTGCTTTCCAAATACGCAATACACACGCGCGCACACACACACACACACACACACACACACACACACACACACACATATATATATATATGTTATGGGACCTTACCCATAATAACATAATGAACTATTCCATACGTAATAAATACTGCGCCTGAAGAGGAAGCAGGGTGTTCTGTCTGAAGTCTGGAGTGAGGTCCGAAAGAAGTCCGTCAGGATTCTGTCACTCAGTCAGAGCGAGTCAGTCAGTCGAGTCAAGAGTCGAGTCAGAGGCATTCCGAAACAGAGTCGCGTTTCAGACAATTACTAAAAGACATTGGAATAGTGATACTGGTCGAGACTACATTGTTCTCCCTACTAAACCTGATTGTTCGTACTAACACTTTCTACTTCTCTGCATATATTCCTGTTTGTAAAATATCTGTGTTATTCCATATCTGTGTTCGAGTTCTTCTTTATTGGTTCTACCTCGGACTATCACCGTCGTACAAGGAACCGGACATGACACTATATATATATATTACCCAATTGTCTAATATATATATATATATATGTGTGTGTGTGTGTGTGTGTGTGTGTGTGTGTGTGTGTGTGTGTGTGTGTGTGTGTGTGTTTTGAACAATAATAAATATTAAAAAAATAACATTTTCAGACGTACAACGTTGTATATTAATATTTTTTGTTTTATTATTTCAATTAGGTTCCTTGACTAGTTTCGGTCAGTACAGCCATCAACAGGAGAAAAAAAAATGGGGGAAAATATTTTCTGCTTGTTAGTAGCAGTGAACTACCGGAGTGAATGACTGTTTCTGAAGAAAGTGAACTTTATCTGTAGTTTTCATTTGTTTTTTATTATTAATTTTCGTCAGTACTTGTGATTGTCAAGTGCCCTCTTTCATGTAGTATTTCAGATAGAGACTGGGGAGATTCGTATATATATATATATATATATATATATATATATATATATATTTTAAACGCTATTTTTAAATGGCTGCTCATATTTGAGGAGACGCTGAGTATTCGAGAAATAAGATTTTCACATATTCAGGATCGTAGATGGAAATGAATAAATAAATAAATATGCTCTTTAATAAATAAACAAAAACAGAGCATCTACTAAAATATGAGTATCCATTTAAAAATAACGATTAAACAAATAAAAATAAAACTGAAAATCTGTCAGATTTAACCCAGTTATTCCCCCCCTCTCTCTCTCTCTCTCTCTCTATATATATATATATATAGTTTTAGTGTATGCTATATTTATGGACTAAAGTGCTCAGTATCAGGGATAAAGCGTATGTAAATGTGAAAGTGGACATTTAAGTCAATACAAAGCAGCAACAGACTTGTTCATTATTAAACACAATCTTCATCGGCGGTAACAATTATCTCTCGAATTATTATACTGGTTATTGAGTGGAATTAATATGGATCCAGATGCAGTTTTGTGTCTGTTTTATAGGTTTTTTGTTACGTTTTTTCTTCATTATTTATTATTGATTATTATTCGTTGCCGGTTATTACCTTTCCTTGTGTTTATATGTGCGTTCGTAGTTTGTTAATTTGTTTATTATTTAGTCAATTTATTTACTTATTTATTGGTTTGGATTAATTTATTTTATCTATTTTATTTTATTTATTTTGTACCTTTTTTAATATATATAATCACCGAGTGGATAAAGACGTACCTGGAATGCTAAAAGTGTAAACTACCTCGCCACAAAAAAAAAAAAAAAACACTATTGGCACCTTCACCAAGTTTGACGCTCGATTCACTTACATACACATCGATATTGTTGGACCTCTACCAATATGTCAAAGTTACCAGTACCTACTGGCCATCATTGATCGATTTTCCCGATGGGAAATCGCCTTATAAATCAAAGAAATTACAGCTAACACGGTCTCCAAAGCGACTGGAACACCACATTATGATCGTGGACCACAATTTCAATCATCCCTATTTCAGGAATTCAACAATTTACTTGGCTCTAAGCAAAACGGCTTGGTTATTACCCCGTGCAGCGCGACCGATGGTTGTGATATTTGGAGAAATTTTGTACCTGACCCGAGTGTACGCGCTCGGGTTCCCCACAGTATCACATCTTAGTGGGAATACTTGGGTAAATAACTGTCATCTGCGGTCCAGTGACTATGATCAAAATGTAGTAACTGTTCCGTGGACATGACCAACTAAGATAACCTTTTTTTAAGTTTGTTTAAATTTGTCTGTGTAAATTTTGTACAATGATCCGACTGTATGCGTTCGGGTTGACCATGTTAAATAACTGACCACCTGACTCGGTGGGGGACACACGATAAATGGCTATGTTCCGCGGGCCAGATGACTAGGATCAAAGCGTAGTATCTATTTCAGCAGCTGCCGACCGCCTGCCCACAGCTCCCAGAGATCAGCAGCACCTCCAGCTAGCCAGCCATCATCATCTCCTACTTGCCATCGGCCGTCGATCCAGTCAACCAGCTCCTGCCGCTCCAGCCATCTCCAGTAGGCATCCAGCACTTACCGCTCCAGCTATCTCCAGCTCCTGCAGCTTCCGCCAACCCCAGTTCCTACGGCTTCAGCTATCTCCAGTAGGCCACCAGCTCCTGCCGCTTCAGCCATCTTCAACGACCAGGTATATCCAGCACCTACCGGCCCAACCATCGACAGTAGGTCTCCAGCTGCAACCGCTCCAACCATCTTCAGCTCCAGCTGCTCCAGCCATCTCCAGTAGGCCTCCAGCTCTTACCGCTCCAGCTATCTCCA